TCATCCTGCAAGGACTCAAACGCCGACTCGGCGAAGCTAAAAGAGGGTGGGTCAAGGAGCTGCACAGCGTTTTATGGGCTTATCGCACCACGCCCCATTCAACGACAGGCGAAACCCCCTTTCGACTAACATACCGCACCAAGGCCGTCATTCCCGTAGAAATCAGGGAACCCTCCAGGCGGACAGAAATTCCCCTCGACAAAGAGATGAACGACGAAGCACTCAGGGATGAACTCGACTTGGTCGAGGAAATTCGATCTGGGGCAGCCCTGTGTGAGGCCACTCTAAAACAACGTGTGGCCCTACGCCACAACGATAAAGTCATCAAACGCGAGTTCAAGATCGGCAGCCTGGTATTACGAAGAAACCAGAAAGACTCCCGCGAAGGGAAACTGGCCGCAAACTGGGAAGGGCCCTATCAGGTTCACGGCGCCACAGGCACCAGGGCATACTACCTCGAGCAGCTAAACGGAGAACCATTACCACGACCCTGGAACGCTGCTAAACTAAAGTAGTACTATAGCTAAAAACCCTTAAACGCTAAGGACTCTCGCCGTCGAACATCCACATCTAGTTAATAGAGAGAAACGTCTCGACCACGTAATAGGCCAAGGTACGGGCCCAATCTACGCCAACGACATAACGCCGTTCAGCCAAACGAGGACGAACGACGATGCCCGACAGGGACACCTCAATCGAGCTCCACTGTCGAAGTACCCACATGGCAGAACACCCAGCTCGCGATGGGCAGTTCACGCCACGGGCATACAACCTCGATCTGGGTCATACGCCCGAGCAGGCAGGCTTCACTCCGCACGACCGACGTATTTCGAAGTACGTCAGACCACCAAATGGGTCATAAGGATCTCCACTCGAGGACATAACTTAGGAAAATTTTGCCACAAAGTAACAGCCGAATACAAGCGTGGCTCGAGGACATAACTTAGACAAATTTCGTCACAATATAAAACTTAGACACGAGCAAGTTTAAAGTTGAAATGAACATCCATTTAAAAGCTCATACACAAAACGAATAAATATGAACCGACCAAAGAGGCCGGCGATGTTCGGAGTTATAGGCTATGGCACGACGGCCAAAAGAAATATGTACGGGCACGCAGGCCCCAAAAATAAGCACGGGCACGCAGGCCCCAAAACAAATACCAATAAACAGGCACGCAGGCCCGACCAGAATTTCCATGCTAAACATTCCCGGGACTACCGGCATCCACCACAAGAGACTCAGGAGGAGGCACAACCTGGCTGTCAATAATCTGGGACATGAAACCCACTCCCTCGGTATTCATGCCTGGATTCAGTATGGCGAGCTGGCTGACCGCGGCCTCAAAACCATCCGCTAAAGCGCCGACACAGTCTGTCTCCAGGAGGTGGATACATGCGACCAGATCCGAACGGGTCCGCAAGGGATCTGTTTCCTCTGACTCATCTTCAGCAGGAAGCATAGCAGCTTTCAGCTCCTCGACTTCCTTAGACAGACGTTCATTGTCGGCCTTCAAGCGTTCCTTGTCCAGTCGAAAGCAATCCCTCTCCTCAGCAATCTTCTCGGAGTTTTCCTTCTCCCTCGCCAGCAGGTCGGCTTGTTCCCGAAACATTTCCTCGGATCACTCGAGGGCCGCCTTTAGCTTACGAGAACTGGTAGCGAGGGCAGCTTTCTCCGACTCCAACTCCCTGACGCGATCCGATGAGTCCGACCCTTCCTCAGCAAGGACAACGACCATCTCAACCATCTTCACCATCCCGACCATACTGGCGGCCAAGTGTTTTCTCCGACTTTCTTTGTTGAGCCGCCTGATGGTCTCGGCCTCGTCGTTGCTCACCGTCAGGGGAAACCCCTCGAAGAAATCTTTCTCTTTGAAACAGGGGGTAAGCCAAAGGCCCTCGCAGCAACAGACTCGTCGCCAACCTCCGACCTATTATCTTCCTGACTTCTCTTTCTCGTAATCAGCTCAGTGGGCTGCTCAGCGTCAGGGGAGCCCGGGGACCCACTAGAGGCATCGCCCGAGCTGGTCGCGGGCCCATCCTCGTGGCCTGTGGAGCTCGCACCAGCCTTTTGTTTACTCTCTTGTCCTGAGTCAGTTTCAAAAGCCTCTCCCTTCGTTCAGCCATGTCGCTTGCAAAGAAGAGCAAAACTCGAATTAGTTGCGAGCAAGCAGAAAACAACGAAAATGGAACAAAACAGCAAAACAAAAGCAAGAAACCTAGTAGATCTACAGCCTGCCCGTAAGATTGGCACTCGACGAGCGCCTTGGTGTCGATGGGACGGGCCTCGAATGTCGGGTAACCTTCCTCGTCAAGAATATCTTCCCCCTCCCTCGTGACCCACCGGGCAGGGAAGAAGCTGTCGACATACTTGCAAGGGATACCATAAGCTTCTTCATCCTCGGCACTCATGCCTCCCGCAGGCGTATGGTAGTACCCAGTACCATGCTCGTAATGGCCCGAGCACCAATGTAATGGGAACTTAGATACGCACCCCATTGCCGGGCGACCCTCGGCGTCCATGAGGGGCTCCCCGTTCTCGTCGATTACCGCGGTTTCCTCTTCATACATAGAATCCAAAGCAGTCTGGGTGACCAACTGCAAAACGTACCACTTGTCCTTGAAACCCCGGACCGAATCCATATACATCCTGAACAGCCTCTTCGAATGTTTCAGGGAAATCCAGCTATGCCTGCCTCATCGAGACTGGCGCTGCAGGTGAAAAACCCTGAAGAAAAGGGGAATGGTCGCCCCATTCCTCAAGAAGCGGCATGTCAGCTCGAACGCCCGAAGGAAGGCGATCGAATTAGGATGAAGCTGCGAGGGGGCCATGTTCAGATGGCAGAACACCCCAGCTTGAAAATCACTGAAAGGGAGCTTAAGACCGAGATCCCTAAACACAATCTCGTACATTGGAAACCCATACTCGGTGAACTCCGAGCAGATTCGTGCATCGATGGACGACCTCGTCACAATAAAATTCTTCTGGAAACCCGACTGACTACCGCCGTGTTCGACGACAGTATATGCGCGCCGATTGTACGCCTAGGCAATCCCTCGGGGCTCGGCGCCCACCCAATCCAACGAGGGGTCATCATCGATATCAACTAAAGTCACGCTCTCTTCGATACTTTGGTCCTCGACTTCATTTTGCCTCGAAGATTTCGGTTCGTCGGCCATTTACCTGCAAAGCACAGGAAACCGGTGAAATTCGAGAGCAAATGCACATGCTCGCCGCAGTGACGGGAAGTAGTGCGCGACAAGCCAAACACGGACACCTCAGCTCGACCAGGCATCGGGAACAACAAGAGAATATCATGGACACCCCAGGCGATAAACATGGATGACTCGAACAAGATCCTGACTTCGCCTGCCCGACACTAAGATGCTACGACGAGTTATCCTACATACTTCCCAAGGGGTCAACATCACGGCCAACTCATGGGTGCGCCGAGCGAAACTATGAATGTGACGGGCAATATCGTAGATCATATGCCTAAAACTACAAATGTCACGGGCAGTATCATAGATTATACGCCTAAAACCATGAAGGTCACGGGCAGCATTGCGAGTCACGTACCTAAAACTATGGATTTACCGGGCACAATCATGAATCTACCAAGTACTATTCCCAGATACGGGTTTCTAACATCCAAATAACGTTAAAACTACCTACAACGAAGAAAAATAGGAGAAATGAACACTTACTTAGAAGAAAAGAAGAATGTACGACAGCGATGAGAGTAATCAACGGAGGATGGTGCGGTAATCTCGCGGTGTTGCAGAAAACAACATCGGCGAAAGCAGAGGAAGAAGGAGAAGCGCGAAGGAGAAAAACAAATTATGGGACCCAAGGATCCTATTTATAGGGATGACGTGGAATACGAAACGTCGCCCCGGGGAGCCACGAACTTCCCCTCCTAGACATCTACTCCCCTAGGCAATGATGACCCTATCAACGCTAGGGTGGCGTCACGGTTCCCAAGGATTGCCTCGTGTACCCAACAAACACAGCCCACGAGGAATTCCCCGAGCACGCGTCGACGAGGATTACGCTACGAATGCAACCCATGAGAAACTCCTCGAGCATGCATCAGAAAGCAATATCTTGGTCCGAGCATCAGATCCCCGTGGTAAAGGCGAGCTGAAGTCAAGTCATAACTCCTGCTCCAGGAGCAACGACTTGGGGGGCTCCTGTTCTAGACTGGGCCCGCCCTGACCCAAAGCGCAGATAAAGGCCCAATCCAAGCAAACTCCTCGAGGAATGCGCACCCGCGGATCACCGCCGACGTGCCCGACCACAGACCGTAGCCATGCCCGCCTTTGCCCGCGACACCTGGTGTCCCCTACCAAGGGAACTCCAGCTCGAGTCCTGCTCGAGCACTCTCCCCGTAGGGCAGATTCTGTCCTCTCTAACCGTTATCGAATCATCTAAATTCCGGAAAGACCGCGTCTTCGTCCCTCCTCATTCTTCATAGAACATCACCAGGAAAGGGACCTAGTGCGGGGCCCCACTACACACGTAGAACCTGACAGTTTCTTTATTGGGCCAGTTCTGGTCGGCCCAATGAGGGGATCTTGGCCCAACGCTGGGGGCTATAAATACCCTCTGTTCCTAGAGAGTCAGGTATTCATCTCTTACGTATCTATACGCTTTTTGCCTGCTCATTCGGTCACTCATTTTAGCATCGGAGTGTCTTGCAGGTACCCCATCTCAGTCAAACTGTGCTCGAGTCAGTCGTGACGGTCCAAATTTGATCAGGTAAGATCAATAATTAATTGATGAATTCTTATTGAATAATAGTGTAAAATTATTTTATAATGTTGATGCAGTACCTTTAACTATTTTCTCATTTTCATAACCATACTCAAATTATATTTCATAAAAATATTTAAATGAAATATAAAAGTCTCTTCTAATTTAATAAAAAAAAAATTTTGATTTTAAACTAAAAATAAAATAAAATTTTATAAAATATATGAAAGAAGAAAACTTGGTTATGAAGAAACGAAGAAGTAAAACAAAATAAGGGAATAGATTCAAGACTTGTTAGGAAGGGGATGATGCATTATCATCTCATCTCATGCGTTGCCTAAAACGACTCTGATGATACCAAACATTGCCGTGTCAAAATAGATCTCTATGTTTCCACGTGTCGCTACGTAATTGGCAGAGCCACCTTTACTTTTACGCAGTCTCAAATCATTTGAAGCTATAAAATCAAAAGCCCCGTAGCGCAATATTCATACTAACTTTCATTTCGTTGCAGTGAAAAGAAATCCTAGCACACAGATTCAAGGTATCTTCTTTCCCTCTTATTAGATTTCGATTGTTAGGGTTTTGCATTCTCACGATTAGTTTATCATTGGATCTATTTTGATTTAGTTTTTCATATTCAATTGTTAGGGTTTTGTCTTATCTTTTAATCGATTGATGAATATGTTTGCTTTGGTTTTAATTTAATCGTTTACGTGATGTGCTATCAATAATTTCAATCCCATGTTTGGGAAACTTTTCTTTGATTAATTGGCCAATTTGTTTCAATTGTTTATTGATTTGTATGTTTTTTTTGGCTTGTTTCTGATATTGTAGATGCAAATTTTCGTTAAGACCCTCACTGGCAAGACCATCACTCTCGAAGTTGAGAGTTCAGATACCATAGACAATGTTAAGGCCAAGATTCAAGACAAGGAAGGGATCCCACCTGACCAGCAGCGTCTCATTTTTGCCGGCAAACAACTAGAGGATGGCCGTACCCTTGCTGATTACAACATACAGAAGGAATCTACACTCCATTTGGTGCTCCGTCTCCGTGGTGGGATGCAAATCTTTGTGAAAACTCTCACTGGAAAGACCATCACCCTTGAGGTCGAGAGCTCTGATACCATTGACAATGTCAAAGCCAAGATTCAGGATAAAGAGGGCATTCCACCCGACCAACAGAGGCTTATCTTTGCTGGCAAACAGCTTGAGGATGGCAGAACTTTAGCAGATTACAACATTCAGAAAGAGTCAACTCTCCATCTTGTGTTGCGTCTTCGTGGTGGTATGCAGATTTTCGTCAAGACTCTTACTGGCAAGACAATTACTTTGGAGGTAGAGAGCTCAGACACTATTGACAATGTGAAGGCTAAGATACAGGACAAGGAGGGAATCCCACCAGATCAGCAGAGGTTGATCTTTGCTGGCAAACAGCTCGAAGATGGCAGAACTTTGGCCGATTACAACATCCAGAAAGAATCCACCCTCCATCTTGTGTTGCGACTTCGTGGTGGTATGCAGATTTTTGTCAAGACCCTTACTGGCAAGACAATTACTTTGGAGGTAGAGAGCTCAGACACAATTGACAATGTGAAGGCTAAGATACAGGACAAGGAGGGTATCCCCCCTGACCAGCAAAGGCTCATCTTTGCTGGCAAACAGCTCGAAGATGGCAGAACTTTGGCCGATTACAACATCCAGAAAGAATCCACCCTCCATCTTGTGTTGCGACTTCGTGGTGGTATGCAAATTTTTGTGAAGACCCTTACTGGCAAGACAATTACTTTGGAGGTAGAGAGCTCAGACACAATTGACAATGTGAAGGCTAAGATACAGGACAAGGAGGGTATTCCCCCAGACCAGCAGAGATTGATTTTTGCGGGAAAGCAGCTTGAAGATGGCCGAACTTTGGCCGATTATAACATTCAGAAGGAGTCCACCCTTCACCTTGTTCTTCGTCTGAGGGGAGGTATGCAGATCTTCGTGAAGACTTTGACCGGAAAGACGATTACCTTAGAGGTAGAAAGTTCAGACACCATTGATAACGTGAAGGCAAAAATACAAGACAAGGAGGGAATCCCACCAGATCAGCAGAGGTTGATCTTTGCTGGAAAGCAATTGGAGGATGGAAGGACCCTTGCGGATTACAACATTCAGAAGGAGTCTACACTTCACCTAGTTTTGCGCCTTCGTGGTGGAAATTAAGTATGTGAATGTTGCGTATCCGTCTTATAATGTGTTGAAGTTCTTCTATATGTCTTCAGTTTTTATGTTTCAGAACTTGTGTATTAGGCCTTAATGGCCCTGGAAAACTATGGTTTGAGGTGTTGTGTATGATTCTCTTCTAGTTTTACTTAATGAATGTGACAGTTTGCTCTTAATAAATAAGTGCTCTTTGTTGTTTGTTATTATATCTGAGATTCCAAAAATTACTGGGATTTCATTATTGCCAAGTTTGAAATTTGGTTAACCATAAAATTGAGAATGTATAAGTTTTCTATTATCCTGGGCGGTAGACATATCTTTCAGTTAGGGAGAAGTATTTGTCACATTTGTAATATTGTATTTGATCTAATGGTTTTAATGATAGACATCTGAGGATGCAAATTTCATGTTAGGAAATGGGGAGGACACATTTGTGTGGCTAGGTCCTTGGTATGAGAACTTATCTCTTAAGGATAGATTCCCTGTATGCAACCTGTCAAGAAAAAAATTTAAGAGTAAAGGATCTGGCATATAGGTACAGGCCAATGGAGCTTCAACTGGAATGGGGATTTATCTCAAGACGAGTCCACCTTCTGCTTGGAACAAACCCGTCCTTTTAAAGGTAGCAGTCTAAGTATAACCTTCACAAAAGAGGAGTGTTGAAAGGCTCTCATTTGAAATGTTCATATGATTGCAGGTCAATAGAAAGTGTTTTTCATATTTTTTGAGTGTGTTTAAACTTGCAGGTGTGGTCGGCGATCATCCGATGGTTAAGCATATCTACTGCGGTGCACAACTCACCTATACCAAACTTTCAGCAACTCAGCGGGCTGTCTGGATCGGACAGAAATAAGACAGAAAAATTCAATGTTATTTGGTACGCTAGCATATGGGTAATTTGGAAAGGACGGAATGAATCAATTTTTAGAGAAAAAAGGATAGATTGGCTGAGCATTTAGTTGAAAAGGTTAAAATTCTGTCATTGAAATAGTTGAGAAGCAAAGGACAGGATTCAATTATTCCCTCGGGCAGTGGTTGAGCAGCCCAAGTCAGTGCTTGGGGTTTGTCGAATGAACTTTCAGTTAGGTTCAGGTCTGAGCAGCGTTTGTAGATACACCAAGTTCGGTGGTCGTAGTTCTCTTTGTCCAAATTTTCGAGAGCATTGCGGCTGTCCTGAACTTGTTTGGGTGCTGCTGTTATATCAGTTCGGTGTGGCGGAATTCTCCGGGTTTCTAAGATGGTTTGGCTTTCAGTTTTGCTTTGATGTTATCTTTTGGTTGGTTCATCTCAGTTTTAGACTTGGTGGTACCATTGGAGTTGTTTAACTTCTGTTGTATTTAGGTGTTTAATCGTTTTGGTGTTTTGCTGCATTTTTTATTGCTGTCTGTTATGTGCTTGACTTTGTATGCACTTCTTGTGCTGTATTTATGATATATCTTGTGGCTGTTTAAAAAAAAATTCATGTTAGAAAGCTAACCGTTTTCTCTCGTTGTTTACTAAAAAAGCTTAAACTTCAATCCCAAAAAAGACAAGCTTAAACCTGATTTATTATCCTTGTTCGGAGGATAATTCATGCCAAGTACTGAATTTGATACCGCTTTTCTGGATGACATCATTCACTCATGGAGCACCATCTTAATATATATTCCCCACAACATACATGATATGAATGATGGTGTGAGCAAGAGAGAGAATATAGCGTAATGGAAATGACAAGGTCATGCTGAATATGTAATTGCTCTACTCTTATACATGATAAACACAGGACAAGACATGCCTACTACAAAATAGCATCCAAGACTATCTAATACCATTACAAAAGTATGCATTCCAATTCTCCCACCAAGATTAATTGCTACTATTAATTAATTTTGACATTCCATTGCTACTCAAAATCAATGGCGTCTACTCTGATGCCGTATTGGGTCCAGCAAATTATATGTCCCTTATTTCCCTCCTATTCATTATTATAGTTGCTCTGTGTCCAACAAATCTACTCCATGTTTCTGCATTGAGTATTGTCACTCTAAAAATTTCATGTTTCCTCAAAGGTTCGGTTGATGAGAAAACTTATAGGAGATGATTGTTTCTGTTATGGATCAGGTGGTTTTTCATGACGAAGCTTCGGCATTGCATTAGTAATGTTTGTAATAATATGGAAATTTGTCGCAGTACATTATCTCTTGTTTAGTTCACACTCAAAGGAGCAGTCATTATGATTCTTTTATGATTCAATAGAAGAAAATGCACAACTAGTCATTTATTTATTTATACATTAACATTATCATATATCTCTTACACACGAATCACAAAACTAACATTACAATCCAAGATAAGACAAGCACACAAATTGAAGCAACAGAGTAAGTAACAGAGTTCATTCTGAGTTCAACCAGAAATCTGAATGGACTTAACTTCAGGTTTCTTGATCTCTTCCTTAGGAACAGTCACAGTGAGAACGCCATTCTCCATGGAAGCTTTCACTTGATCCATTTTAGCATTCTCAGGCAATCTGAACCTCCTCAAGAACTTTCCACTGCTACGTTCCACGCGATGCCATTCGTCGTTCTTGTCCTCTTTCTCAACGTTCCTCTCTCCACTTATCTGAAGAACCCTGTCTTCTTCAATTTCAACTTTCACTTCCTCCTTCTTCAATCCAGGAAGATCAGCCTTGAACACGTGTGCTTCCGGGGTCTCCTTCCAGTCAACTCGAGTGCTAACAAAAGCAGAATTCTCACGAGGGAATGAAGCAGAAATTGCAGAACTGGAAAATGGAAAATCCTTCAAGGGGTCCCAAATGTCGAGGGAGAATGGATCGTATACGTTGCTCCTTCGGTTGCCAAAGAAACTCGGAATCAGCGACATGTTTGATGTATAGTTGTTGAAAACTCTGTAAATTGAGAATTGATTATCGATGCTTAGTGTGATTCACATTATTCAAAGGCTTGTGGTATTTAAAGGAGATGGAAGAATAGTCTTGACTTATCGAGAAAGTGCTGCTACTTTATTTATTTTGTCACGGAGTCTTGAAAATTCTGAAACATTCTCGAGTTCTCTACAGACACCCAAAATTCTCTAGATTTTGTTTTAATTATTCAGCAATAGATAGGTGGGCTTGAATTTTGTTTTTGAAAGAAAATAGGTTTGGGTTTTGAAGCTAAGAATTTAATTTGTCACCATTCAAATTAAACATTGACCCCTCCACATATTTTTTAATCCTTCGATTGCCCCCTAGACAAAATTTAGTGGAAAAATTACAAGAGAAATTTCCGATAGTTAAGTTAGAATTTTCAAATAAAAAATAAAATTTTCAGTAGTGCAATTTAATATTGTCGATATTAAATAATTTTGAAAATTTTAAACATTTGATATCTATAAAATCATATTGATAATTTAAAATTCTCATCAATTATAATTTTATCATCAATTTTGTACGATTGTAATCGCACCGACTATTTTATGTGGTCCATAATAAATTCAAACTTGTATAATTAGGGGTCATGCGTTGTTAAGAAAAATATGTTAGAATGTTTCCATCGTTTAGAATTTGCTCTTATGAGTTGTGAATATTGTGCCAAAAGGACGATCCGACCGTTGGATTGTGAGAACACTCTGATTTTTTGGAACTGATTTATGCATAAAAGGGGATGCGGGAATAGTGTTTTCTCTCCAATCTACATCCATTTGGGCCATTCCAAATAAGAGGGAAAACTAAGCAAACTCTTTCGACCGACTAGTTGGAGGGAAATACCAATTTGGCTTTCATACGAAAAAACTCAAACTTTCCCCTAGGCAACGCCTCCGTCAATATATCTGAACCATTGTCATCAGTGTGAATCTTCTCAAGCTCCATCAATTTAGAATGTAATGCATCACAAATTCAATGATAACGAACATTAATATGCTTCCACCTCGAGTTAAAGGAGGAATTCTTCGATAAGTGAGTGACACTTTGATTCACAAAATGAGACTTACTTTTCTTATTTCACACCAAGTTCCATTGCAAATTTTCTCAATCATAATAACTCTTTTGACGCTTCCACGACGACTATAAACTCGTCTTCGGTAGTAGAGAGTGCAACACACTTTTGCAATTTTGATTGTCAAGCCACGGCTCCCCCGACAAAAGTCACCATATACTCCAAAGTAGATTTTCAATCATCTAAGCTTCCGGCTAAACCCAAATATGTATACTAACCAACATAGGCTTCTTACATCCCAAGTTTAGCTTCAAATTTGACGAGCCACATAAATATCTCATCACCCATTTCACGACCTCACAATGATCTTTTCTTGGATTTGAGAGATAACGACTCACCATTCCCACGACATGAGAAATATAGGGTCTTGTACAAACCATAACGTACATTAAATTACCAATAGTCGAAGAGTACATAATGTTCTCCATACTCAACTTTTCTTCACCCGTAGATGGACATAGTTTATGACTAAGCTTGAAATGAGAAGCGAATGGAATGCTCACTGCTTTAACCTTATCTATACTAAAATGCCGAAGGAATTTCTCCATATACATTTCTTGTGACAAGTACAACTTCTTCATATTTCGACCTCGAATAATTTCAATACCAAGAATTTTTCGAGCCTCTCCTAAATCCTTCATAGAAAAATATTCACTCAAAGTGTTCTTCAACTCTTTCATTATTAATATATTCTTTCCAATAATTAGCATATCATCCACATAAAACAAGAGAATAATGAAATCACCTTCGGAGAAATATCGGAAAAACACACAATGATTGGCCTTGGTTATCTTGTACCCATGTTCAATCATCACCGAGTTGAACTTTTGATATCATTGACGAGGTGCTTGATTCAAACCATAAAGACTATTTACCAATTTGCAAACATAGTCTTCTTTTCCCTTCTCTCGAAATCCATCTGGTTGCTCCATGTAAATTTCCTTATGTAGATCACCGTGAAGGAAATCCGTTTTCATGTCCATTTGCTCTACTTCTAAATCAAGACTAGCGACTAGCACAAGAACCACTTGAGTAGATTGCATCTTCACAACCAGAGCAAAAATCTCGCCAACGTCAACACCTTCGCGTTGTTTAAAACATTTTACCACCAAGCGAGCCTTGTATCTTATTTGGGAAAACACCCTTCTTGCTTAATCTGATAAACCTATTTATTCTTCAATGCTCTCTTACCGTTTGGAAACTTCACTAATTCAAAGATATTATTCTCTTGAAGTGGTTGCATTTCATCCTCCATGACATCCATCCACTCTTTTTTGTTCTCATCCTCTAAAACTTATTTAAAGTTTTTGGGTTCTCCACCATCAGTAAGAAAAATATACTCATTTGAGGGGTATCAAACAAATGGCCTTTTATCACGAGTAGACCACTTTAACTCATTAGAAGTATCTGATTGCTCAAGACTTTCAACTTCTTGATCAACCTCATTTTCAATAATGTTTTTCGTAGCACCTACATCAACTACATCATTAGGTTTTAAAACATTATCAACATTCAAATCCATACCTTGATTTTCAATTAGAACATCTTCAAAAGTGATAGGGGTAGGAGAAATAGTAGTTGAGTATGTATCAATCATTTCTTCATCTTCAAAATTTGGATCTTTATTCTCAACTTTGTTGATGTCCTCAATGGTATAATCCTCCATAAATACAACATCACAACTACGAATAAGCTTCCACTGAGCCGGATCAAGAATCAATACCCAAACTCATCAAGTCCATACCCAACAAACACATATTTCTTCGACTTCTCATCCTCCGAAATATGCATATAAGCCATGCACCCAAAAAACTGAAGATGGTCGCAGGAAACATCTTTACCACTCCAAACATGATTCAAAACATCAAACTTAAATGGAACACATAAAGTGAGGTTTAAAAGTTGTACAATTATGCTTAATGCTTCTTCTCAAAAGTATTTTGGAAACTTTGATTGAGAAAGTTAACATCTTACCCTTTTCACCAAAGTTCTATTCATTCTTTCGGATAACCCATTCAATTATGGTGTCTTTGGAGGAGACTTTTGATGACATATACCTTGATCTTGACAATACTTGTCAAAAGGTCCAACATACTCTCCCCCGTTATCGGTTCAAGTACACTTGAGCCTTTTCCCCATTTCTCTTTCAATCGATGCTTGAAATGACTTGAAGGTATCTAACACTTGATCGTTCATCTTCAAGGTATAAGCACATGTTTTCCAAGAACAATCATCAAAAAAAGTCACAAAGTAATACGCACCACCAAGTGACTGTGTCTTCGTCAGACTATGCACATCAGAATGTACTAAATCCAACACTTACGATTTCCTCTTTGGTTCAGATG